AGAGAAAACTGAAGCCCTTGAGTGGAAGGTCCTATCTGTATGCAGGGCTGTAAGCCCAAATCTTAGACATGGACAAGACGGAGAAAGAGCCAAGAGGAGAGCAGAAGCAGAGATGACATGCTGAGATCCCACAGGAAATTGAGGACAAAGAGAGGACTGACCTGGCTTTGCCAGCTCCACAGCAGAGCGTCCCTGGCACCCCGCACCCTCAGTGGCCGTCCCGTGCTGGTTCGCCTTGGGGAAGAAAATCCCGAGCAGCTCCGTCTTGCTCACATTAACCCCACTGCAGCCTTTCTGCCACAGCAGCAGCGTTGTTCCCCTCTCATCTCTTCGGAGGGGAACGTGGGCATGCTGCACCTCCAAACGTGGGCATGCTGCTCCTTCAGGCCCATCAGCCAGCTGCGGTGGGGGACTCCGTGGCACCAACTTAAGACAACCACCCCTACAGGAGCTGCTGCATGCCTCCAGCGTGCGCTGTGGGGGGTTATGAAAGAAGTCCTTGGCAGGTCACTCAAGAGACTGTTCCTCTCCAAGGAAGCTCTCGAGAGCCCAATTAACACACCTACCCCATACAAGCACGAGTGCTATTGAGCACGTACTTAAGGGCTTTGCTGAATGGACTTAATTCACTGCTTATGCCTTAAAGCTGAGCACATACTTTACTGAATGGGCACAGGCAAGCTGGAGCAGTTTGGGGGCCTGCTGACCTGTCATCCAACATCAGTATCTTCAAAAGAAACAGTTTTTGACACAAACAGCTCTTTCTTTCAGGAAGGAGAAAAAGAAAAAAAAAAAAACACTGAGGAAAGGCTCGTGCTTTTCCACTCCTGAAGCTCACTGCTAACTCCTGCAGGAGGTAGCAGTCTTGCCTTCCTCTCTCCCCTACACGTAACAGGTAAAACATCCTAGGAGGTGAATAGGGAAGGAAAACTGGGACAGCTTGTGGGCTAGTTCTTTCTGGTACACGGAAAAATGTTCCTCTACAAACTTCCTGTGTTTGTAAGGGAGGGCATTGCTCCAGCATCTCGTAGTCCCAGTAACTGAACGAGCAACTACTACTTTTTTAAGCACTTGGAAGCAACTGCAGATGAGATGTGCAGTAATTGGTGCAGAGCAGCTCTTCCTTTCTGTCTCCAAATCCTTGCTTCATATTCAGT